GATGCAGTGACTGCGCGCAGGAGGGCTGTGCTGGCCCGCGCGGTGCGTCCAGGACTCGGCAGGATGCAGTGACTGCGCGCAGGAGGGCTGTGCTGGCCCGCGCGGTGCGTCCAGGACTCGGCAGGATGCAGTGACTGCGCGCAGGAGGGCTGTGCTGGCCCGCGCGGTGCGTCCAGGACTCGGCAGGATGCAGTGACTGCGCGCAGGAGGGCTGTGCTGGCCCGCGCGGTGCGTCCAGGACTCGGCAGGATGCAGTGACTGCGCGCAGGAGGGCTGTGCTGGCCCGCGCGGTGCGTCCAGGACTCGGCAGGATGCAGTGACTGCGCGCAGGAGGGCTGTGCTGGCCCGCGCGGTGCGTCCAGGACTCGGCAGGATGCAGTGACTGCGCGCAGGAGGGCTGTGCTGGCCCGCGCGGTGCGTCCAGGACTCGGCAGGATGCAGTGACTGCGCGCAGGAGGGCTGTGCTGGCCCGCGCGGTGCGTCCAGGACTCGGCAGGATGCAGTGACTGCGCGCAGGAGGGCTGTGCTGGCCCGCGCGGTGCGTCCAGGACTCGGCAGGATGCAGTGACTGCGCGCAGGAGGGCTGTGCTGGCCCGCGCGGTGCGTCCAGGACTCGGCAGGATGCAGTGACTGCGCGCAGGAGGGCTGTGCTGGCCCGCGCGGTGCGTCCAGGACTCGGCAGGATGCAGTGACTGCGCGCAGGAGGGCTGTGCTGGCCCGCGCGGTGCGTCCAGGACTCGGCAGGATGCAGTGACTGCGCGCAGGAGGGCTGTGCTGGCCCGCGCGGTGCGTCCAGGACTCGGCAGGATGCAGTGACTGCGCGCAGGAGGGCTGTGCTGGCCCGCGCGGTGCGTCCAGGACTCGGCAGGATGCAGTGACTGCGCGCAGGAGGGCTGTGCTGGCCCGCGCGGTGCGTCCAGGACTCGGCAGGATGCAGTGACTGCGCGCAGGAGGGCTGTGCTGGCCCGCGCGGTGCGTCCAGGACTCGGCAGGATGCAGTGACTGCGCGCAGGAGGGCTGTGCTGGCCCGCGCGGTGCGTCCAGGACTCGGCAGGATGCAGTGACTGCGCGCAGGAGGGCTGTGCTGGCCCGCGCGGTGCGTCCAGGACTCGGCAGGATGCAGTGACTGCGCGCAGGAGGGCTGTGCTGGCCCGCGCGGTGCGTCCAGGACTCGGCAGGATGCAGTGACTGCGCGCAGGAGGGCTGTGCTGGCCCGCGCGGTGCGTCCAGGACTCGGCAGGATGCAGTGACTGCGCGCAGGAGGGCTGTGCTGGCCCGCGCGGTGCGTCCAGGACTCGGCAGGATGCAGTGACTGCGCGCAGGAGGGCTGTGCTGGCCCGCGCGGTGCGTCCAGGACTCGGCAGGATGCAGTGACTGCGCGCAGGAGGGCTGTGCTGGCCCGCGCGGTGCGTCCAGGACTCGGCAGGATGCAGTGACTGCGCGCAGGAGGGCTGTGCTGGCCCGCGCGGTGCGTCCAGGACTCGGCAGGATGCAGTGACTGCGCGCAGGAGGGCTGTGCTGGCCCGCGCGGTGCGTCCAGGACTCGGCAGGATGCAGTGACTGCGCGCAGGAGGGCTGTGCTGGCCCGCGCGGTGCGTCCAGGACTCGGCAGGATGCAGTGACTGCGCGCAGGAGGGCTGTGCTGGCCCGCGCGGTGCGTCCAGGACTCGGCAGGATGCAGTGACTGCGCGCAGGAGGGCTGTGCTGGCCCGCGCGGTGCGTCCAGGACTCGGCAGGATGCAGTGACTGCGCGCAGGAGGGCTGTGCTGGCCCGCGCGGTGCGTCCAGGACTCGGCAGGATGCAGTGACTGCGCGCAGGAGGGCTGTGCTGGCCCGCGCGGTGCGTCCAGGACTCGGCAGGATGCAGTGACTGCGCGCAGGAGGGCTGTGCTGGCCCTCGCGGTGCGTCCACACGCTGCAACTGCCGCTTTCCTCCTCTTTTTGCAGCAGGGGAATTAGCTCAAATGGTAGAGCGCTCGCTTAGCATGCGAGAGGTAGCGGGATCGATGCCCGCATTCTCCACTGGATGTTTTGAACAATTTTATTGTGAACAACATTTAAACAAATTCGTTGTGAATTAAGAAGCAGCACTTAAAAGTTTGTTTGCTGTTTACATTGTACACAAGCAAAAAGTATATAAAAATCTGTAGGAATTTTTATGTAAAGAAATTCACACACCACCTTCAGTATTTAATTTTATCTTTTCAAAATTATATGTAACTTTGCATACAGGGAGGAAAATGGAATACCTAATAAAGCTTATTGATCTTTTTAGTAGCAACAATAAATTATGTGTATGAATAAGAGAAAAATGAGGAATTTTTATCATGATCTGAAATTTTTAGTTTATCATTTCATGAGTTAAGTGTATGTTTGATATTATTGTTTACTATTTAATAGTACGTATCGTAATAGAACAAATCTTGTATTTCTGCAGTGAGGAATACTTTGCTCTTTTGGTTATGCAGTATCTTACTAGAAGCAACAGGCCTAACTATTATATAACTATACTGCTGCTAGTAGCAAGTTATGTCCTTTGCTTGTGAAGCTTAACATGTGTGAAACATTCTGGAAAATTTTCCCTATAAACCTGTATTTCCACTTCTAAGTCTTTGTGAGTTATTTTCTATTTATATTACTATAATACTATACTATTTATTCTATTTTCTATTTATATTACTATTTCTATTTTTATTACTATCTCATTCAGCTGTTTAACTGCTTGTATTTAACATCTTGGCAGCATAGGGCAAAGCTTAATGCGTATAAATGTGGGGCCCTTGTTTTCCTGAAAAATGTTAAAGTGAAATCATTCACAAATTGTGTAAAAAAAAATAATTCATACAGTGATTCTGTGCAAACACCATCTTGGGACTATGGATATTAAAACAAAATCAGAAAGCAAAATTGTGAATTAGGTTTAAAGTTAAGAAAAGGGAGGATACTCTGCTACATAATTGCATGGGTGACACTTGTGGAGAAAATTAGTGTGTCCTGAAATGCATGTATGATATGAGAAGACACAAGTTGCCTCTGGAGTGATGGGATGGAGACTGAGTTTGCTTATTTCCCTTGTCTCCAAGTACTGGAGAGAGCAGAGGTATTCAAATGTGAAGGCTGATAGATAAGTGCAGGCAAAATACACGTGGTAGAGAAGGTTACTGCCTTCAGGAGGGCGGGCTGTGTTCGTGTAGTGATTTCAGTACCCATTTGCTTGGAAGAAGTTTCTCAGTAGGTCTGTGTGTGTGGAGATTGGTTAATAGCCAATACATTCTGTCCTTTTGAAGAGGATTAGTCATGCTGTTTTTCTCTACTAATCAGATGCAAAATGTGTATTGATTAAATGAATGACTTCACTGTTGCTCTGTGAAGGTTCAGTCTGCAGTCACTTTTAGGACTACGGCTTCTAACTGTAACTGCGCTAGACTAGGGGCTGCCTGTTATATTTATGCACAGCTTCCTAGAATAGAGATCTGGTGTTTGTTAGACCTTCTAACTACTAATAGACTGACACTAATGATAATAGCTGTAAGAGGTTTTTTCTCATTGCATGTTAAGTTTTGTGTCTGTTTGGATTGTGGTGTGAAGAATTTACTGGGTTCATTTTCTGGAAAGTTATCATTTTTATAGTAAACCTGTTTTAAGGTAATGTTACCATGTTTTTGGTAGTCTGGGAGATGGGGAGTAGCTATTTCTTATGTCTTCTCTATAACACTTGAGACTTTGTGGCCGTGTTAGCAAATCTCCAGGGGAGGGAAGGATGTTGGGGGACCATTATCCTGGCAACTCCGGGACAGTGTTTTTCAGCAAGAGGACTGGGCAGAGCATAAACTCAAAAAATCTTTAAATAAAAACACATTTCACAACGTAATTGCGATATGCTCACTTTCTGGCTGAGCACATAATTTTTTTTTTTTAAGTAGGTGATGCTACGTAGTGTTTAACAGTACAGCTTGTAAGAGTTTTTTTTTAGTAATGAGTCCCTTAACCCTAAATATTTTGATGCAAATGTAAACAGAACAGTATTTCAAGGAAGAATTATTTTTCTTCAAGAAAAGGGTGAGAGGTGAATTATTACCATACATAAGCACTCAATAGTTTGGAGAAAAGGAACATTTTATGCCTTTGAATTCATTCAGCTTCTCATTAGCTAAGGATGTTTTATTTCGCCATCAATATTGCAGGGAACACCATTATTACCCCAGTAAATTTAGTTTCCCTCTTCTAATGTTCAGCTATGCTGTTGGAGTACTATAATACAAGGCACCTCACCTCTACCAGCAATGTTGTGCTTTTTGGCCACTGTTTTGCCTTTATTTCCCATGGCTGCAGTTGATATTGGAATAATTTGTTGCTCCTAAGGCTAAGATGGGTCCAGTACCTAGATGTACGTGGAAGTGGAATCTTCTGTCTGCTTTCAGAAACTCACTGAATACAAGCGAGCTTGGGCTGGTAAACTGCTGCCCTGTTTATATCGTGTCTTCAGTGAAACACACCCGTGTTTTTCAGAAAGACTCGTTAATATAAGATGACCTAAAATAATGAGTCTTCGTGGGGAGGAGAGAGAGGAGGAAAAAAGACAAGTTGTCCAAGTCCACAGGTGTTGGGTGGTCACAGTGCTGCCGTTGATCTTGGAGTTGTTCAGTTTCTAATTCTGCTGGTGAAACGGAGCTTGCTAGGGGCTCCTCTTGGCTTCATTCAAATTATTGCAGCAAACGAGCTCGCTTAAACCGGGAAGATTTGTGCAATAATCTTCAGTCTCCCTTTTGCCCTCCTTGATCGCAAGGAGTAGGAAACTTGTGTTGCTTTTTTGTGTCCCGCACCACAGTGTTTTGTGGAGGGGTGCTATAATAGCTGGAGGAGAATAATCTGTAGATATCATGGTGTTTGTCCAGCGTCCTTAGTGTTGCTGATAGCGGAGCAGGCTCCGGAGGAAGGTCCCTGTGGCGCCGGCCGCGCTCCCGCCCTGCCGAGCGCGCTGCCCTGCGCGGGTGACGCGGCGCGCAGGGCGGAAGTGACGTGTGTCGCGTGCGGCCCGCACCGTGGGGGGGGTTTGGACAAGATGGCTGGATCCACAGGTGGCCTCGCGGGCCCGGGGGGGGGCGAGGAGGCGCCCGCTGGGCCCGCGCGTGGGAGAGGGGAACCGGCCCTCGGGAGCGGGAGGGCGCCGGGGGCAGGAGGCCCCATTCAAGGGGGGAAGAGGCGAGCTGCGAGGGTGCCGGGCCAGGCTGTGCCCCGGCCGTGGTCACCCCCGTCCGCAGGACCGCGGCACCCCCGCCAGAGCCTGGCCCAAGGGGCGAGCGGTGCACGAAGGGCTGCCTCCCACTTCTGCTCCTGGTGCAGTGGGGTGCGGGAGAGAGGACTGCATCGATTTAGAGCAGGAACGCGTAGCTGTGTGTGCGTACAGGGACTGGAGGGCATGTCACTGCCTTGGGGAAAATTAGAGAGGAAATTGGGTTTTTTCCTTTTTTCCCTAGTGTCATATCTTGTGAATATCAGAGCTGAAATGCAGTAGTACCTAAAAGTAAGAACTGTCCTACCTCTCCCTTCACCCTTGATGCAGGGGAAAGGTATCGGGCCTGCATTGTGTTTTGGGAGAAAGGTACTAAAGTTTGGTGCTGACTGCAGCATTTCAAGGAGCAATAGAGTAGAGAGGGGACAGCATCTTGCTGTCTGCCAGCGGGCGGTCTCTGGAGCCAAAGGGCCTGTGTTCTGGGACTATGGAAAAGAGCTGCAATTTGTGACTGGGGAGCAGGAGAGCGCCCTGTATCAGTAACCAGTGTGACGTGTGTGGAACATGGCATGGCAGAATGTTGTGGAGGGTGATGGTAAAGGAAGAGAAAAATGCTGATTTAAGTATTGAATGCAGAAGTTTAAGAAGTACAGGCCTGTTGCCTCAGTTTCATTTTAGGAGAGGTTTGAAAATAAAAAAAAAAACTCCTAATCATTGCAAAAGGTGAAGGCTTCAGGGCCTGTTTTGTCCCGTTTTTGTCCCCTGCATTTTTTTAAAGAGAAATGAGAGTGACAGAACTCAAGGAGGAGCAATGAGCTGGCCTCAGTGTTAACTCCAGGGTGAATGTTGGTCAAATTTATTTGCTTCTGTTCCCAAGCATTGAAGGATAGAGACGATTAAAAAAAAAAAATGGAGGGGGAGGGAGGTGGGGAAGAAATTTCTGTGTATTGAAATGGATCTTGGTGCCTTGCTGTGGATTCTGGGAGATGGAGATATTGGGCAGGTTATTTTGGGTAGGAAAATCTGTTCCACTTGGCAATTTGACTTTGGGGCTGTGGGGTTTACAGAGTGGAGTCTGGAGGGCTTACAGCAAAGCTTGGAGTGCTGAGAAAGAGGAGGCCAAAAAGGTGCCCTCTTGCCCATTGCTAAGATGGAATGATCCTGTGAAATCAGACCTGCAGGCCGTTTCTTTTGTTAACATTTTTTGAAATGCCTCTTTGTTTCCGAGTTTAAAAAAAAAAAAGTTAATATTAGCTTTATTATACAGCAGCTTCCACAGGCTTCTACGTATGCTGTGGCCCCGGGTTTCCTGTAATACACAGGAAGTTGTTCAGTGTCAGTGAATTCAATCTGACTGTTTTAGAATACCAGTTACTAAAAATTCATATATCAAAAATGCTCTTGTCTTTCTGTAGAATATTTAACTCTGTAAGTAGAAATATTGTTTTGACTGAACTCAGAGGTTTTTCCCTTGTAAGGATTGTTTGCAGTCTTAAATGAGGTATTCGAAAGCTTCTGTGTACGCATATTGAATGCAGTTACTTAAAGTGGAAGTTGTACAGAATTATATATATATATATATATATCTGCCCAGACAGCCTAACATGCTAATACTACATGTATGTGTTGTTACAGATATTAAGTGATTGTAGTAAATGTCATTTCATTCATCATAAAACAATCAGACAGAATCATGATGACCACACGGAGAGTTGAGTCAGGGCATCCAAAGCAATCTGCTTATTTCCATGGGGAAAACACTGGTGGCTCTTCATTGGAATGTGCTTCAATTTGGGGGGTGTTTTGGGGACGGGGTTGTGTTTTTTCCCATAGTAGACAAAACTGCAGACTTTTTAAGATCTCATCTGGAAGTACTTACTCTTCATATCAAAAAAATGTGTTTTACTTGTTTGTGGAAGAGGAAAGGGAATCACTTGCTACTGAAATAAAAAGATTCAACTCCAGCTAGTTAGTGAATTTTGTGTGCTTTTTCTATACAGTTCCACTTAATCCTTGGGAGGGGGAAAGGAATGTTTTGGTTGCATGAAGGTCCAGGGATAGAAATTCCCTAGGTCTAGGGAAATCAACAGCAAAGTTTTTACTGAAGTTAATTGTCTCAGTTTTATTTCAGATATTGCTTTCTGAAAATCAATTGTTTTTGAATCGGCACATTTTTTAAAAATGCATTTAAGAACAAATAATTTATTTGGCAATAAATGTCTTTTCATACATTCCAAAGGAACTGTGTATATCAGCATTTTATTGTTGTAGATTATCATATGATTTTCTAAAATCACCCATATGGGGTAGTTTCCTATGTAGGTATTGCAGCGTCTATAAATTTATTTTTAGGATGTAATTCAGTTCATCTTTCAACATTACAAGTCTTGCTTGCGTCTAGACTTGCGTTATTTGTGTGGATACAGTTGGAGGTTTTTCAGGGGAAAAAAGTCAGTTTCTTTAGGAAGCAAATGGCTATTGTTGAAGTGCAATCTGCCAATGTCAGAGTGGTTTGCTGGACACTCATTGATCTCTTTCAAAATACAGGGTAGAAGATTTAAAGTATTTTCAGGTTAGAGAAAATTACTAAAGCATACTTGAGAAATAAACTAATAACAATGTTTAAAGGAGTTAAATATTTGTATTTCTAAAATTTTGTTTTTTCTTAAAATTACCTTATATGTGTAAGAGATATGTCTTAAGAATGGGCTTATATCCTTAAAGAAAGCAGTGCTCATGTCATTAAGTTTTGCAACTTCCATGTGAAAACATGAGATTTAAGGTTGTGCTGTGTTCTTATCTATGGGCTGTAACAGGTTATCTTCTTCCACTGAGGATTTAAGTAGGTGGGGGAGAGAAAAGAGGAGTTAATTTTATTTCTGATTTACTTTTAGTGTGTAATCACAAGCAACCTTTTGTGCAAGTGCACTAAATGGCTTTGAAGGGCCGCTGCTAGATCCTGAACAAATATTATTGCTGTAAAATTCAAGCTGCTCAGTTACACATAGCCAGTTCTTCAAAGATCAGGCTACTTTGCGTGATTTGCCTTGCCCATGCAAAAATAACTTTCCTGTTGAATTTTCAATATGACCGGTTAGTTGAACAGAATTGCCATAATGCTTTTTACTTTTGTTTTTAAAGATTTAGTGGTGGTGAAAGCAATTTGAAGAAGTGTATATGACAAAACATCAGCTGTGAAGAGGCTGATATTAAAAATGAAGGACAGAAAATGATCTTGAGGGCATTTAGTCTAATTCCCTGAGGTGTTAGGAGGCCTGAGTATATCTTTTTATGGTGAGTTGTTGTTTTTATTTGCTTCTGCTGAAGATGATTCTGTAACGTGAGGTGGGACTTCATAATACTTTCCATTAAATCTCTTACATGTTTTCTTGATTCCTGAGTTTATCTATTATCCATTTGATGCACATAGAGATTGATGGATCGCCATACCCTATATGGAGTTTTTTCATTGGCGTTTTCATTCTACTCATTGGCATAAATAGAATGTAGGAGTAGTGCTTTAAATAATACTTCTTTCCTCATTGGAAATTATAGAATTTAAGCTTTATGCCTAGAACTCTGTGTTAGACTCATCATGGCCTTCACCTGATCTGTTGGATCTTTGCTTTTCTCGAGGACTAAGTGGCCCTTTGTTCTATATCTCATAAGGTATTTTTTATCTTCCATGATGGATTTACCCCTCCCTTGTATTTTGGTATCATGCTTCCATTTATATTATTAATTTCTTGTCCTACATCTGTCCAAGATGTCATTAGAAGGATGTTTATAATTTTATAGTCTTCATAAACTTTGTTCTGTGTATTTATGATTTTAGCTCTGTAAGCAGAAATTTCTTGAAGCTGCAAGTAATTAGAGAAAACAAAAGAAGTAAAATACTATATTCTGTGGGGCACCAATCTGCATGGGGCATTTTTCCATCCTGTCCTATGCACAAGGAATTACAACTGCAGTTGTTATGACTGGATTAAAAAAAAGCTTGACAAGCCACAAACAATTCAGATGTGCTTCAGCTGGGCTGAAAACAATTTCACTCACAAATTACTACTTTTAAGTTATATATAGCCCTTCAGTTCTTTCCCACCCTGTAGCATATATGGAAAAGGTACTGCATTTCCTCAGAGCTTCTCCCTTACCAGTCAGCACTCATGTTGTTCTTTTACAACTCTGTCACATATATGTCCCAACTTAGGTGTTTGCTCCGTGATGGCTAGGCAAGAGTAGACTCAGGCTAAATAGGTTGCTTTTCAGAGTATTACAAAGTAGGCCCTTATTTACTTATTAAGTTCAAGAATGTTATCATTTATAGTATTGAAGTACACTGTACAAATTTTACAATGCAATCTGAGAAAATCATATTCTGGGTGAAGACGCAACATAAAAATCAGTAATATTAGCCTTTCAGTGTTTGGTTCATTGTATAAATTCATTGTATAAATCTAAACATGGTTCATTGTATAAATCTAAACACAAATGTGTTATATGTGGCTTCTTATATGTGAGAATAATATTCCCAAATCTCAGGAGTAGTCAGTGGAAGTTGAATTACCTGTGCTTTTTGTTACCTTATATTACTTGTGGTGTTTTGCCATTTGAAAGATCTTTCCTAAGGCAGTGTAAGTACTTCCTGTGAGACTGTTCAGGCTTTGTTTCATTGACAGACCCTTGCTCCTCTCGCTGCCCATTTTTAACATAGAGTTTTTTTTTTCTAGAGTATGACTTATGCTTCATGCTGACTGAAAACATTTAAATCCTTTAGCAACTAAATTTATCTGAAGTACTGGATCAAGTTCAACTACTAGTGTCACCAGAAGTTACTCAGGTTTT